ACAGCAAAAGCTACCTCCCTAAACTCATTAAAGTTTCCTTCAAAAGGCTACTGAATTATTTAGGTCAAATTCCAAGCCTGACAATTCTAAATAAAATATTTAGCGAAAAAGCAGTATCATCATTTAGTATGCTCAAGGCATGGAGAACAAGGAAGGTTTTATTGCCCAGCAGAGAAGACAGAAGAAAACCAAGATTGATCTGAACACAAAACACACCCGAAGGCAACATCAATGTGCAGCACACAGCACTGACAACGTAGAGATGGGACTAACTTGGCAGATGTTATGAAAGGACAATTACAGACTTCAAAAGTTAGCATTAAAGACTGTATGTGGGGGGGGAAAAATATTTCCTTCTGAAAGTTTGATCTTGCAAATTCTTTCCAAATCTTTATCACTGTTTTGATAAACATTTGATAAACATTTCCCACCCCGATTTGAGAAGCAAAATAATATATTTTTGGATTGAGCTGCTGAGTGAGTCTAGGAACTGCTTTCTTAAACATATACAATGAAAAGTGAGGAAAATCAGTAAAAGTTTTCAAGACCAACTCAATGTGGAGTTGCTCAAGGCCACTTTCACAAAGAGTTCCTCAGTTATGATGCCCAGAAGCTCCATAACCAGAAAGCTTTCCTTGGTTGTCATGGCTTAGGGCTGAGCCGGCTACTAAATCCTGGACAGATGCTCTTTATTAACCCCTCTCCCCTCCCCAGAAGGGAAGAGAAAAGAGAATAAGGGAGAGAGACCTTACAGGTTGGAAAATAAAAGGTTAATAAAACAGTAATACTAATACTACAGGATAATAATGTAAATAGGAAAATAATGAAATATATGTCTACAAAACCAATACAAAATCCTCCCCCCACTCTCCCCCAAAGATGATTACATCAGCAGAGGCTCTGCAGAGCAGGGCACTGGAAAAGTCCCAGACTGAAGTCAGCAGCAGGTGGGAGCAGGATGCAGAACACACGAATCAGGATCAGAAGCAGACAAACCAGCACGGTCTGCTCAGACCTCAGTCACTGCAGGATCGAGATGGACAAAGGGTCTGAGATGGAAGGGCTCCAAGATGGAAGAAGAGTTGAGACCCTCGTGATCCCTCGGCTTTATACCGAGTATGACGTATGTGGGATGGAATACCTCGTTGGTCAGTTTTGGGTCCACTTCCCCCCTACAGGCGCAGACACGGCACCCATGGTGAGACACTTGGCCTTGAGCTTATCTTCTAGCAGCACATACTGGAAAAACATGCTGCTAGTTTCAGCAAGTTCAGCCACTTAAAAGAGACTGAGCTGAAAAGTAAAATCACTAATTAGAAAATTAGTTTTATTTAGCTCAAACCAGGACATTGGTGTAGCTGAGCCTAAAGCTTCCATGAAAAGTTGTATTGCTGGCTTTCCAGAAATGGTGGGACCATGCAGAATGTGAAAGGTTGTCTGGCTCAGTCAACTTCCTACCTTCATAAAATCCTTTCTTGTGTACTATGGGTGCAAAAAGCTAGTTTTCAGGTTTTTTTGGTGTCTCTTGAACTTCATCACATCCAAGTGTTACCAGCTTTTGCACCAGATGGCACTTGGATTTTGGTATTAACCAACTTTAAGCCACCAACGTTTGGAAGCTCAATAAATTTTTTTTATAGAGAAAATTGTAACTGCAGCTTTATGACCAGGATTGGCTTATTCTGACCCTCTAGCTAACTAACGATGGGCAAGGCAAAAATAAATTAAATCCGTAATAATTAAAATTACAAGTCCATCTCATGACCAATGCTATATACAGATGAGTTGAGTTAGCCTTTCAACACTAAAATTGTGAACTGGCTATGTAAACTAGTGAACATAATTAACAAGCCTGATCCTCACCATCCATTTGTCTAATACATTTCTGGCAAACAGCCTTGTGGAAGCTTTCTATGAACAAGACTCTGACCTCCATACTTTTAAAGAGTGGTCTGTAGCCTAAAACATTAGCTTGTCTTCAGCCTCAGAATAAAGGACACCGCATCTTCGAGAATCTTAAAAACATGATGTCAAATAAGAAGATGCAACTTCTTCCTGCAAACATTGTGCAGAACAATGACACTGTACATAGACTTTTGCTGAACAGACACTAGACAACACTGCCAGATCAAGCTGTATCCTACATTCGTCAAACAGATCTGTACTGGACTCCAGAAAGAAGACCTGCATCTCTGGCTGAGACAAAATACTAAGTTCCACCTCATAAGAGTGAAAGGAGCGAGGAAGAAAGAAGTCGTGTTTCAAACTATGAGACCAAGTACAGGAAAATAGAAACTTTCTGAAATCCAGAGCTACAGTCATATAAATGAAAACCCAGTATTTATACACAGGAGCACATAAAAATCATTAAATAATTACCACCTACAGCTTCACAAAGACACGTTACATGGCTCACCCTTGGTTCCAAACAGGAAGCCAAAACAGATGTTAAATGTTTACCTCCACTCCCCCATATTAAGACTCAAGTTGTCATCTACTTTAATCATATTCTTAGTATTTATAAATAGGATCTTAGCTAAAACACAAGCAGAAGACAAAAACTGAGCTTGTTCCAGTCAGTTTTCCAAGTGATGGGCACTGAGCGTGCCTCTCCCTGGGTTGCAGCTGGTGGGCCAGAGAATCTGGCACACATGGTCGTGTTTCTTCACTGACACCAAAGTGCGGGATGCTCCAAAGACTGCCCCTCCACAGGTTTCATTTCATTCCAACTCATTTATTTTTAACCACAAGCTCTATACAAAATTGGCTTTGCCTGCTTTTATTCAGGCAGCAGGAAACTTCGCTAATGGTGGCCAAATAGCATCCAACAACATCCAACTGTCCAGCAGCAAAAGCCAAGTATCCATGTCACAGCTCCCCTTTCTAGACATTTAATCAGCTCTTTGTAGGTCATAATTTTTCCTCTTTTGATTCTCTTTTATACTGTGCCTAGCATGCTTTTGACTTGTTTATTTACATTGCCTAAGGATGCATTCAGGTGCCAGTGACTACAAGTATCTCCATTTAGTTCACAGTAAATGCCTTCAATTCTGTATCTAAACATTTCCTGTATTTCTGCATATTTTCATCATACAATACCACAGGTATATTGTAAATACCTTTGTTAACTGGATTTCAGTTACAACAGTCTGCCTCAAGTAATCCATCACTTCAAACCCTGTTCTACTTCATATTTTTCAGGCTTGCACAGCACATCTTTTTCCCTATGTAATAAGCTCCCATTTTCACCAGCACTGTAATTTGCCTGTAGGAATAACCACCACAGAATAACCACCCAACTTCTAAATGTCAGTCAACCACCTCCATAAAAATCAAACTTACGTGCACCAAGTTGCAGATAGGCTACAAGTTGGTAATTAAAGGCTGCTGAAGCCACGTTGTACCTCTTCACTACCGAAAATGCAAGCCAAATTCATTAGTTCATTAAACTACAGCCTCATTTCTACTAGCGCTACTGGAATACTAAATCAGTGATGACTGATGCTAAAAAAGGCACAGATACATTCAGCCAGCTTAAAGTGACTTATATAAGCCCTGGAATAATCAGAGGAAAAAAAAATATCAGAAGACTTAACATCTGCAAGGAGTTTGATGTAGCACAATCAAGCCTTAGTGCTTTTCAAGCCTGTTTTAATGATTTTCCTATGAGCAAAAGCCCTTAAAAAAGCACAACAGTTGGCCTTTACAAAATTAGTGGGAAGAGCAACATTAAAAGGAAGGCTTTACTACAATATTCAAATACACTTATATAACAACAACATTTGTCCAGTAAGGGATACAACATAGTACATAGACAGAATAACCAAAAATTTCTTTAAACATAATAAAATTTACAAGTTATATATGTATATACCACAGAAAATAATTCCAGGCTAAGCACAACACAAGCCAGAGAACATCAAGTGCTGTCCCAATGAGATAACGACAGCTTCTAGAAAATGTCTCAGAGCTAGCTGTGGGTAGCACTGAAAATACTACCATAAAAATTCTTAAAATACACTAAAAGATTACAAGGTTCAACATGGTAACAACTATCTCTGGTTTCAGTTTTTTCTTTTTATCTGAACGGTAAAGAATGGGAAAACAGAAAAATGATTCAGTTACCTGACAAACTGCCTTTATTACTCTGGCAGACAAATTGACACACATTGACAAAGCAAGCTATGGGAATTAGGGAGGCTTGTACCAAAAAAAACTCTCAGGACTGCTACTCATGGCAAGAAGTAAAGAAAGCAGAGATGACTACCAAGGCTGCCAGGAGTAAAAGGAGAGAGAATATTAATAAAAAAACCTGAAGTTTTCACTCAGGACTCCACACACCGTAACAAACATGTTTAATGGTATCCTAGGCACTGAGACAACACAAGCAGTTTCAAATGGAAATAAGCACAAGGAGAGCAACTATGGCTTGTTTTTTTGTTGTTTTTCAAACAGACTATCAAAATGTCAGGTCTACTGAGGAGTTTCACTTTGCATCCAACCAGCTCACATGGATCCACTGAGTTTGTTTCCAGCAGGTTTAGCAAGGCAGAGAGACTGTTTGAAAGCTGGCAAAAAGTAGTGCTGAGACTTTTTTTTCCCCTTTCCTAAAGGGAAAGACCTTTCAGTAGAAGTAATTGTTAAAAGATCTTTACACAAAGGTTCCAGGCTTAGGTGGCATATCGTAACACTTCTGCATAAAGACACAAAAACCCAAGACACTGATGTGACCACTGGTTACAGGATTACACATAGACGATGATTTACCATCACGTGGACGTTCTCCCACAGATGCTTAAATGAACTCGTGCACCACATAATGTAATGTTTTCTCTTTCAGATTAACACCTAAGGATACAAAGAATTACATGCAGTATTTCAATATGCTTTCTTCCTTACCTCTTTATTGTGAAAGACAGTGGTTTTGAACCAACATTTGGAACAGATAATAACATCCGCATTTAAGTTCTTTATAACCTCTAAAAATAGCTTTGTCTTACCATGGCTGTGGGTGGTTCCTGGGCTGAGACATGGCTGGAGTAACTCTTTGGTTGGAGTAAAATAGGCTTCTTTCCCCTGGCGCTGGCTCATTTTTCCTGGAGTTAAAAGCTGTGATTCATCACTGTTTGTTACCACTGCTGAAATACAAAATGGATGCTCATTCAGTGATGTTATGTGCTTGTGCATAGATTTCTATTAACAAATTCAGAGCTATTTATGAAGCTGGTATTCAAATACTGTCTTGCAAAATTTTTCATTCTAGAAAATGAGGATTTAAAACCAGAGACTTACTCTGAAGGGGACGGCAGAAATAAGCTGACAAGACTGTTCTAAGACATGAGGCAGAAGATAAAAACAAAAACTAGGAGGAGGTAGAAAAGGCTGCTACTGAATCCAGAAACAGCACTGAGCTGTTACTCAACTTCTGAAATCCTGCTTTCTTCACCACTTCTGTGATAGTCCCTGGTTTAACTTGCCACAACACAGCCAACCCAGGACATAGCTTGCCAGATCAAGCTGTGCCACAATCCCAGAAAGCCAAGATCAACATATGTACATCTTATCAATAAAGATCGTGTATAGACTCTGTCAAGGGAAAGGTTTAAAGCAGAAGAGTAACTTTCCTTGAATCTTTTCAGTCTTAAAGACTTGTTTGATGTCTTCTAGCTATTTGTACCACCACCTGCCCAGCCATCCTGTTTCTGGTGTCTGTACATTTTCTTATGCTGCACACAACAAAACTGCACCTTTTTCAATAGTGGAAGAGTGGCCAATTCAGTAACACCTGTCCTGTGGAAGCAGATATACTGACAAGAGAGATCAGAGGGGAAAACAGAAGATGCTTACTAAAGAAGAGCCTGCCTAAAACATTGGGACTTATGATGCCGCTCATTTTAGGAGTTCTCAAGCTTTCCTCAAGCAGTTTTAGAAGTTCAGCAGAAGATCCTGTCTAAACATACAAGTTTCATTTTCTGGACGGAATCTGCAAAGTACAGAGGCCCTCCTTGTAGCCTTGTTTCTACTGTTATTACAGTAACAGAAACATTTTTTCAGCAATGTCTAGCATAAGCACTAGGCAGCACAAAGACTGCAAGGATGCCACGATACTTGCCTGTGCTATTTTTCTACATCTCATAAAGCATCCAAAGCTCTGCTCCAGACAAACTATACCCGATGCAAACTGCCCACGAAAACATGTGAGGAGATGGACAAGGGAGGCAAAGAGCTCATTTTACCAGTTCAGAGTTCAAGTCTGTCAGTGCCAGAAGGCTAATACTTCAAAGCAGTGACTGATTTTGCTCTTCTTTTAGTACAAACAAATTAGCTTTTTATTGTCCTGCAGCTACAAGTAAAGGAAAGGGGGGGAGCAGGGCAGTTGCTGAAGTCTTGGGAAGGGACTGGACCACAATAGGTCTGGTATCTGAAATTAAAAATAAAAGGGGAGTAGAAAACATCTGCTTGCACAAAATGGGGCTCCGTGAGGGCAGTGAGCTACACTCGCTTGGTATTAAAAAGTTTCAGATGCACTGAAGTAGCCCCAACTTGTGACCAAGCAGCTGAAGGTGCTCTCAAAGAGCCACTGGCTATTTACCTTCCCAGGAATGGGATTTCACAGCCCCTCTTGCTGCGTGGGTGCCCCTGGCCAGTCCCTGCCACTGCAGCGGGCAGTGCTCCAGCCCTGCAGGTGGGCTCCTCGTTGGCTGTGTTAAGCACCCACTCTGCAGTGGGAACCGCGCTCACAATCCCTTCTGGAGCGACCTGCGCAGAAGGCTCATTTCTCAACAGGCAGCGTGCAGCACCAATGATTTTTTTTTCAAGCCTTAAGCTTTGGAAATTCCAATTTTGTTTTTTAAGCTGCTGGGATGCAATCATTTCTCAGGCGGTAGTGGGCACTAATCTGGACCATAAGCAGGCCCTGCACACAGGTTTTACCAGAGCATGAACTGAACTCAGTGATGTTAACTCGTAACACCAACAGGATTACAAGCTTCAAGTTCACTATTAAAATTCATGCTCCTTCGGTGGTCTGCAGACTTAATTTGAGTCCTGCAAAGACTGCTAGCACTCCTTTACCACAAAACAGTTTATGTACCACCTAACACAGAATATCTCATGGCAAGCACTTTGTGTGCTCGAGAATTTAAAAGGACTTCTTAAATCACATGGACTTTTGAGAAATTCAATCTATAAAGCTGAGGAATAATTAGCAGGAGAGTTCTAAAATCTGTTTTATACAAAAATGTTGTAAAAGTACTAAACAAATTAAAATAAATCAGTTAAGAATATAAATGTCTATCCACACTGTAGCAGCCACTAGGAAGAAGCTGTCCCCTTCCTTCAAAGTGCCTCATCCTGATGGTCAGATGTTTGCTTCGGGGTGATGAGGAAGACAAGGCAAGCCAGAGCATAAGGAGAGTGAACAAGATTAAGCAACTTTCATCTTTTTTCTATAAAAGACTGACTAATGACCTGATTTTTACAGGTGCCTGTGTAATCACAGCTGTAAAATCAGCAGGATCTTCAGGAAGTTAATGATCTCTGTAAAGATGGGCCTTAAGCAACGTATGGCAGGAGTCCTGGAACCTTGAAAGACAGAGATGGAAACAAAGAAAGCTATTATAAAGAAAAGGAAAAAGTGCCTGGAAAGGAGAGAGGAGGTGGAAGAGTTATGCTAGTGACAAATCTGAGTTTTCAAGATGCCATTAAATCTAACACCTACCACTTGGAAGCAGATCTTTAAGAGAGTAGGTTTAATTAGTATGTATTAATAGATAACTCGGCAATTTGTAGAGGCTCCTTGGCTGCTGTTTATAGCTTCTGATGGATTGATTTTATAAACACTATAAAAATGTATGGTACATACTTAAATCATTCATTTACTGACAATGTTTGATGGTTTTATGGCTAACTTTGGATTCATTTGAACCATGGAATGTTTTTAGCCTGGAATTTAATTACTTTCCCAGAATAAAACCAGCAGTGATACTGAAAGAGAGCAATGGCCATTTACTCCAGTAGCCTTGCTCAGTTGTGAAATAAAAGTTAGCATGACTGAATAAGCCACATTCCTTGTCAAACACATTTTCTTTTTTGCCCAAAATACCAAACTGAAACTTAAAGTTTTGGACTTATGTGTGCTCCTACGCCTGAAGCTTACCTCAAAAACCACACTCAGTTTCTGACTAATCTTCAAAGCACTCACACTTACTAGTGAGTTTTGGTGAGGACAAACAAAATACGATTTTTTTGTTGTTTTTTAAATGTTCTGGAGAACGCCTCACCTATGGAAATGATCAGAGGGCTGGAGCACCTCTCCTACGAGCACAGGCTAAGAGAGTTGATGTTCAGCCTGGAGAAGAAAAGGCTTTAGGGACACCTTATTGTGGCCTTTCAATCCTTAAAGGGGACTTGAAAGACAGAGAAATACTTTTTACCAAGGCCTGCAGTGACAAGACAAGGGGCAATGCTTTTAAAAAGAGGAGAGCTTTAGATTGGACATAAGAAAGAATTCTTTTTGTAATGAGTGGTGAGACACTGGTACAGGTTGCCAGGGAAGTTGTGGATGCCTCATCCGTGGCAGTGTTCAAGGTCAGGTTGGACAGGGCTTTGGGCAACCTGGTCTGGTGGGAGGTGTCTCTGCCCATGGCAGGGGGTTTGGACCAGATGAACTTCAAAGGTCCCTTCCAATCCAAATCATCCTATGATGCCAGTTCTTCTTGGGTTTCACATGACATCTCTGCCACTTGAGACAAGATTTGGTAGGTGTCTGCTCACCGTGTCCAACAAGACATACAATAGCATTATCAACGATTCCTTGCCTCCAAAGCGGTGATTTATTTTTAGACTTTCACTCAGGCTTCAGAGCACTCATCCAACAGAAAGATGACCTCCGTTCATCCCTTTCTTTACCTGAATCAGTTTAAACCCATACCATTTATCTCTTGAATATGAGTAGAGGATTACTTTAGGGAAGAAACATCAATTAGTAAATAGCAAAGCATCCTCATGACTCTGTGGAGAGCACATTTCAATACCAACAGAGCTAGCAGAGTTGATAATACAGACATTGTTCAACTTCCTCATGCTGGCATTCAAATTACTAACACATAGTTTGACACTAAGATTCAGGCATCAGAAGAAACACAAATTGGGGTCTTTACAGTCAATTTATTTCATCAGATAAAGCTATGAAAAAAAGAAATAAGTATCTGAACTGGCAGATTCCCAGTTCTTCTGTTTCTATAATGAGCATATGGAAGCGCCTACGTTCTTGAAAATAGCACAAGGACATCAGATACAGGAAAAGGGTTATTATAATTCAATTTCATGTTATTTTTTAATGTCTATAATAAGCGTTATCAGCTAAGACTATTGCTGCTTCTGCACAGATTTCTCACCAAAAAGAATTTGTGCCTGCACCATTCCCTTCCCCACATACACAAACTCTTAACCCCAGACAAAATTATCCTGCTGATCATATGATCATACTAACACCCATGAACCAATGGCACTGGTAAGACTTTGGCCGCACGCGTGCACGTATATATACACACACTGAAATTTCCCTATAACCATACCAGATCCAATACTTATTTTAATTTTACAGTATATACACCTGTTCATTTCTGAAGATGTAAATTTATTTAAATTAAGTGAACCATATAGGACTACAAACAGATAAGCCCAAAAATAAGACTGTTTCTGAACCATTAATTCCATTTCTTTATTATTTACACTACAATAACATTTGAAAGTTTCATTTCAAACTCATAAATACATTTTTTTATCTTCTAGATAAATAATTTAAAATATTTTTTTTCTAGCTCTGACCGTGAGAGGTGAAAAATAAACTTTACCCAACTAAAAAGAGTTTAACATAGGGAAACAAAGATGAGCAGTATGCAGGTAAAATCCTTATCCAACAGTAAAAAACAGCTTCTCAATTACAACACAGAAGAAAACCTAGTAGTTAGCCCAGCAGCCTATATGCAAAGATATATGCTATTAGGAACACATGTGCAAATATACTGTAGAAGAGGGGAGTCACTTACTTGATGGTCCGTGAGAGTCTCTGTTATCACCATGATGCTGTGTACACACACAATTGAAGAACAGCAAACAAAAAAATCCAGGCCAGGAAGAAGCAAGTGCACAAAAGCAGCAGCAGCAGCGGGAAAGAAGGACAATGAAAACAGTGTTAGTTCATAACTAAAATACAACATGCACCTCCATACCAAAGGCAAGACCTCAAGACGCTTAGCAGTTTGGAAAAGTTGAAGCAACAAAACTGACAAATGCGCTTACAGAGAAGCCACTATTAGAAGCCATCAATGTACAGTTAGTGAACAGCTACTGCCCCAACTGCGTGGAACCTCTCCATCCGCAACTCTGTGCTCATACGACTTGATACACAATATATTTTAAGACATTTTTAGCTGGAATGCTTTCAGAAGACTAAAGCTGTGAAGAAAGCTGAAATAAAACAAAATCGATTTCCAAAACTGCTCCACTTTCAGACAGGTGTTTTGGAAAGACAAAAACTGTTAAGCCATCAGTAATGTGCAAGCACCCACTAGTGCCAGATCCAAGCCTAATGGAGTGTGCACAAAAACACAAACTCGGAAGCCACAGATTCAGTTCATCTACAAACACAGGTAACATTTTAAATTGCTGAGGATGCAAGACAAGCAGTGCTGTTTTAAATTGAAGAGGGCATTTTATATCAAAGTATTTCCAAAGCATCAAGTTGTATTAAAAAAATTATCACTGTCCCACTGGATGCATCAAATACAGACACTACAGTAGAGTAATTATATAGTAAATAGTCTGTACTAGCTTCTTGCATTTAATCTGGAATCTTTTATAAACCATTGCTATCTGAGGCCACAACTGGGGCTAAGATCCCACCGTGCTCAGCAGTGTACCAATGCAGGGTAAGTTCCACCTATGTCTTAAACGATTTATTACCTTTGAGACCCATGAATAATGAAAAGGAGGAGAAAACAATCATTCTTATTGGCGTGAACATTTCCTCCTTGAAAATAAAATACATCAAAACATGCTGTATCTTCTATAACCCAACCCAAAAAACTCTGCTCCATTAAAGGAGAGAAATCCTTGCCCTGCTTGAAAGAGGATCCAATCTTGCCTCTCCATTATCAGGACTAAACAGCAGGAAACGTAAAAAGGAAAAATAAAACTCCTAGCAAGCAGAAGTCTTGTCTTACACTCATGATCTCAAAACACAGAATTTATCCCTCACAGCTGCCCATGGGTGTTTACATTCGCATGTTGCAGTGTCAAAGTGGTGCGATGAGAACACTGCAACTGTAGTACCCATCACTGGAAAGGTGAGGGAACCCTTTCTTCATCATTTCGTGCTTTCTGGAAAAAGGACTTGATTAAACAAGAGAAGCTGAAATAAAATTTAAGTGCACTTGGTAAACAACCTCCTATCTCTGTCAGACACTAAATTTAGGTCAAAGAGTGAAACACTGCTAGGGGAATCTATGAACTTAGCAGACAGGTTTAAGTACTAGTACATGAAATGCATCCAAGAGTTCAACAGTTTTCAAGGCAAAGTGCTTCTTTTTAATGTACAGGTACTGCAGTCTAGGAAACAATTTATGTTGGACTGGAACCACATCACCCTATGCTGGTTTTAGATTCAAGCGAATAGTGACCGAGAGCAAGATAAAGGAGCCTGCAGTAACTGTACAGAAATCCAGCAGCCAAGTGAAGGACTGGGAGCAGCACTATTCAGCACTGGTCTGCTTTACTGCACACTAACAGTTGGAAAGCAAGAGAAGAGAACTGGAAAAACAAACTGTTAACAGACACACAGGATGAGAAGTTTGTGAGACTCGGGCAGCACGTTCCCCCGCAGTGCATACTTACACGCTGAAGAAGCAGAGTGAAAAGCACGGCAGCAGGTCCTGTCTCGCTGCCTGCCTCAAGCAGCCCTGACCAAGATACAACGTGACACCACGGCGCAGGGCAACCGTCCGTCACTTGAGACGACGCGGGGGCTTTTTATGTAAATATTTCAGCATTGCATGGTTAATCCCATGAACTGGTACAAACAGCTCCGACGCCAGAGGCTGAAACACAAGCCTGCCTAACTCTGTCCCTGATCTCCTCCGCCAGACATTCTGTTTACACACCAAACCGCCTCCGTTGCTGGTCAACCCCATCCCTCCGTTACAACCATTTGGGCCTGCGCATTTACCTAAAACCTGCAGAACAGATATTTCTGAACACTGATGCTAGATGTTAAGATAGAAAGAAGAGGCTATTGCGGCCAAAAAGACCTCTTTGCATTCCAGTGCCTATTGCACCTCTATCATCTGCAATTCATATCACTGCAAACTGGGGATTCAAACGCCTAAAGGAACAAAATATGACAGTTTTACTACTTCAATATTTTCTCTGAAATAAATGCCCCCAGGGCA